CATAATGGGTTTGCGACCAGCATGGATCCAGACCAGCCTGTGCATCCGTGCAGTCTGATCAGGATCCAAGCTGTTCGCTATCAGTTTCTTCACTTGTAAGAGGCTGGTCTGGATCCATGCTGGTTGCCAACGCACTATGTTGGTTTTGTCGTGACGTGGCTCAATTATGAATACATTCACATACAGTGAAAAGTTTTATTTTTATAATGGTCTTAATTCAGAGGGAATTATTCAACACAGGGATGCCGGTACCTTTTTTTAAAATAATTTCTAAATTAAAGTAAATAAAACTTTATGAAAATACTCATACAATTCAACTAATTAAAGGTAACATAAATCCAGAGTCATGGCCCTTTTTTGTACAAAGTAGAATAAATCTAGAGTTATGACCCTTTTTAACAAGTTCAGCATAAACCTAGAGTCACACCCCATTTTTGAAGAAAGCATCAATCAAGTTATTAAACCATTTTTAACAGAAATTTAGTATAAATATAGATGCATGACCCTTTTTAAAAGAATTCATAATAAATTCAGAGTCATGACCCTTTTTAAAACAGATTCATAATAAATTTAGAGTCATGGCCCTTTTTTTAAACTATCAATGTGATAAACTACAAACAACCCATGTATATAATACATGTTATATAATAATTTATAAACAATCACTGAACAAGCACTATATCTTGCTTTTACCTTTAGTTTCATTAACAAAATACATATAACACAACTTTTCAATTTGAAATTCTCTGTTAAACAACAAATATTACAAATAAATATATAGGTTTGTCATTTATTACAACCGAATAAAAAACATATGTAAGAAATATATGTATCATTTCCCTACTTTGTTAACGCACATCCATGATTATTTAGAGGATATTTGTTTGTTTTGCATGTAAGATTGAAATATAATTTCACTGAGTGAACACCAGATGCAATATTTTCACAAGTGGCGTAGCCACGAGTGAAAATATAATAGCTGATGTTCACGAATGAAATATATTTCAATCTTATATGCAAATCAAATAACTTTTCCTTTTATTTCATGCTTTTTAATTGATTTTAAGTATTATTTACTGATTTTGCCACTTAATGTCGCGCATTTCTTTTGACGTCATCACATCATGACGTCACATCATCAATTTTAAATTGTAGTTCTGTTAAATTTCTCTTACTTTGTTACATTTTTAACATGATGTATGGTGACATCGCCTTTATTTTCTTAAAGAAGCAAAATTTACGTATGACGGCATTTATTTCTGCCTGTTATTCCATTTAGTTTGATTTTCTTTTCATCCGCAGGCTACAGTGAAAATTATATTTTATAAATTTCACTAGTGGTTTATCAGAATATAATTATCTGATATATTACAATAAAACACTGGAAAGCATGAAATAAATGGTATTAACTGAACACAAATCAATTGAAAAATTGGTAAGAATAAACTTTGACCTTTGCTAAATTTATGTTAATAATTTGCTAATTTTAAATCAGACCCGCACTGAATAAGTCTCAGTGTTAAGGTTTTGTTAGATTTTATGTCAGACTCACATCATGTAAGTATTATTATGATGATTTTTCTAGCTTGATTGGCAGAGGAAGACCTTAGGTGCCACTTTTGGCGCCACTTTGTGCATTATTCATGGCATAAGCAGGCATCGGATTAGAATTATTGACCTTCAATAGGACAGCTCAATATCTTCCTCAAATGAAGGAATTCTAAATACCTGACATGATTCAAACCAACAGTGGTGAATTAGGGCAAATGTTTTGAAGTCAGTGAAATATCCATGAAGGCCCCCAGATTTGTTATGCCCCATTATGCACCTCCCTGTCCTATGGACACATTTTTTTAGTTCTTAGTTCTTCATTGAAATAAATCTGTACATGCACATCATTTATAAGGGATATCAATATCAGAATTTGCAAATTATGTTATATCTTGTAGTTCAGGTTTAAAAAGAAATATCACAGAGTTTAAGAAACGTACCTATTTCACAATATGTTCAATCAAATTCTTTCTTTGAAAATCTAAATGTAAACCCCTGCTCTATACCATATGTTCTTCAATAAATTAACATCACTTAGCTGCCTCTTCAGTATATTAAGCAATTTATATCAAACATTCAAAAATTATTCTTGAAATACATTTATTCATAGTTAATTGGGCAACAAAATATAACGTAACATCATAACTATTAAGTTCATAAAATTATTTACTCTGCATAAACATGTTCCTTTAACATAACATTCTAGACTATTATACAAATATATGACCATCTAAATATATGTGTAATGAAAAGGTTTAGAATGTGCAATTAAATGTTTTCTTTTCATGAAACTAAATTCAACACAGTGTCTTTCCTTGAAATCAACCTATCATCCTTTTCCAATGTAATTATTGTCTAAAATTTTCTAAATATACATAATAATTACGGTGTTGAAAGTCCTTTATTTCATACATGTATAGCTTACTGCAGTTTGCGGTCAACCCTCTTTAAATAATATATATTCATGTTGTTGCTGAAAACCTCTCCCTCTATATACATTAAAAAAAAAAAAAAAAAAAAACCCATTAAGCTTTTATTCTATGAAATGGAATGATACAAATGCATATGGAATGTAATTCATGCAACCTAGAATGCAAACAAAATACAAGTATATTATTATGGCATTTATTGCGACAAAAAATGTATTAAATAAAGCACCCTATAGTTTGTGTCAACCTAATATATAATTAACAAAATACCACGGTTAAAAGAAGCTATGGTAAACTATTTATTTGCTGTTCACCTGATACTTTACTGAGACTTTAAAGCTGAACAAAAGCAAAACAAGTCTTAAAAAATCAAAACTAAAGTCTTAAAAAAATCAAAACTTAAGTCTTAAAAAATCAAAACTTAAGTCTTAAAAAACCAAAACCTAAGTCTGAAAAAACCAAAACTTAAGTCTGAAAAAATCAAATCTTAAGAAAAATATATCAGAAACATTGAGAAAATTATATATATTCAAAATCCATGTAACATTTTCCATCCAAAACACGCCAAATTTACTATTTCTCTCATCATCAATCTATCCTTTTCCAAATGGAGAAAGGGATACTTCTGCATATCTTAAAACATTTGAGTAAAAAATAGAGAAAGGGATACTTTTGCATTTGTTAAAACATTTGAATAATTTATATGGATTGATAGTGCCTTATGTTAAAATTACTGAATTTGTTCACTTGATATTAATATCACTTAATATTTTCACGATTATAATAATAAGACACTATAAATACCACAAGTATACTTTCATTAAAAATATGAAGTAGCAAGTACCTGGAGATGAGCTGCTTTAAGGTTATATAATTTAAAATATATACCGGGGTATATCAAGATATTATATCACTTCCTTGTTCATTTAGAAACCTGCAGCTATTTTAATGTTTAACATTGGTTATCATATACCAAATTGAAAAATAAATATACTAGCCATTCATCATGTCTTTTATTCACTTTTCATAAAATGAGCCGCATCACGACAAAACCAACATAGTGCGTTTGTGACCAGCATGGATCCAGACCAGCCTGCGCATCCGCACAGTCTGATCAGGATCCATGCTGTTCGCTATCAGTTTCTCTACTTCTAATAGAGTTGGTAAACGAACAGCATGGATCCTATCAGACTGCACGGATGCACAGCTGGTCTAGATCCATGCTGGTGGCAAACGCACTATGTTGGTTTTGTCGTGACATGGCTCAAATAACAAAAGCCAAAACATAAAGTAGAGGTTACATTTTGATATGTTTTCTTATGTAAAACCTTATTTACAGATCTATTTTTCAAATAATATAAAAATAAATAAATCATAAACAATTTATCTCTAATAAATCACAGGTTTATAAACACCAATCAATTAACTATATCATAAACATAACAAGAGGAAAAATACATGAGCAAATATCAGCAAAAACAAAAACATTTGATTTCACAAAACTATTTTGAATATTTGTAAAAAAGGCAACCCATTCCACCAAATAGCAATCTTTAATTTTACTACTGAATATTAGCAAATTGGCAATCTTTGATTGAATGAAACTATTGAATTTTAGCAAAAAAAACCTTACTTTATACAACCTATTAACACAAGAGCTGTCCGTAAGACAGCGCGCTCGACTTTTTTATTGCTTGCCAATAAAAAAAGTTTTTGCAGTAAAAGGCAATACAAGAATCTCTGTATTTTTAAAGTGAACAATGGCCATGAGCATTAAGATATTTAGTGAAGAATTATTTTACTGAATTGTGTGATACCCTTGAACACTGCAGCAAAGTTTGAAATGTTTAAGTCAAAAGAGGGCTGGTAAGAAAGAAAAAAAAACTGAGTTGAGCCTTAAATAAATTTAATAGTATTAAACCCACTTTGAGAGAATAAGGTATTTTTACGTCACTCAGAACACCTTGGTAAATGACATAATAACATAATTTTTCAAGAAATCTATGCCAAGGAAGCAGTATATTTTTGTACAATCAGCATAATATATAGATTTGACAGAATTACCTTCTCCTGGACATGTTTGGGAATCATGATTGTAAACAAGTATTCCAACTTTCAAATTAATATCTCAAACAGTTCAGTCAAAAAGTGGACTGGTACTAAAAACTTAACCAAGATTCTAAGTCGATAAAAGGCCTTAATTTTTAAAACAAATCCTTGACAGAGTTACCTTCTCTTGTGTACAGATGGGGGTAATGATGTGAAATAGCATTAAAAGTTTCAAAGCAATATCTCAAAGGGTTAAGGCAATAAGTGGATTTTACCCATATTCAATGTATTTTCTAAGTCAAAAAGGGGCATAATTCTGTCAAAAACCTTGACAGAGTTATGTCCTCTTGTCTGTTGATGAAGGTCGTGATGGTAAACAAGTATGGTCAGTTTCAAAGCAATACCTCCAATGGTTTTGAAATAAAGTGAGGTGGTACAAAAAACTTAACCAAGCTCAATACACTTTCTAAGTCAAAAAAGGGCCATAATTCTGTCAAAAACCTTGACAGAGTTATGTACTCTTGTCTGTAGATGGAGGTTATGATGGTGAACAAGTATGGTAAGTTTCAAAGCCATACTTGTAATACTTCTGAAATAAAGTGGGGTGGTACGAAAAACTTAACCAAGGTGTGACGCCAACGCCGACGCCGACGCCGACGCCGGGGCGAGTAGGATAGCTCCCCTTTTCATAGAAAAGTCGAGCTAAAAATGTAAAAGACAACCCTTACACTCATTAAACAATTCAATATTAGCACACAGGCCACCTTTGCTTTAACCAAATATAAGCAAATACTTTAACCAAAATACTGAATATAAGCAAAAAAGTAAACTGAAATAGATTTATCTTTTTATTTGACCAATCAGTAGTTCAAATATAAGAGTGACAACACATTGCACTATTTGATATAATTTAGCTTGCACAATGGGTTTAAATTTTTTTTTATAGTAAATGTTTTTTTTTTTGGCATTTTTATAATCACACATGCAGCAGTCTATAATTAAGTAAATACTGGAAACTGTAGCATAACATGCTTGCATATTCATTTATAATAAAAAATCAATTCATATTTCTTTATTATAAATGAAACAGATTCTATACTTTGATAATGGTAAAAAAAAACAGTATTGACAATATGTAAAAAACAAACACAGTTAAAATTTCTTCTTCTTTGTCATAATACAATGAAAATTCAAATACATTCATCTCGGTGGGGGGGAGAGCAATTTTTATTTGTATTGAACAGTCTAAAAACATGTTTTATTATCTTGCTAAAAGAGTAAATACACTTTTTTCCATATACAAATCATCAAGGCTTGACTTAACGTCTCCGTTCTGAGTAAATCATTCAATATTAAACATCAAGGCTACGAAAAAAAAACAAAAAAACTTAAAAACAAGAACACCACAGCCAATGTTTAACTCATCAGCATTAATTCTGAAACATATAAAAAGTCATGCCATTTACTGAAAATCTTGGGATGGCTAAAAAACTGTCTACCGTGAACTGGTAATATAAAATGACCGAGTAAATCAGCTATAACACTAACTTGTCTCGTAAGAAAGTAGACACAATGGTAGAACTTGATGGGCATCAAATATGATATACTCTTGGTTCATTGATGCGTCACCTTGACCAAGCATATGAGTCAAACGACCTGGTGTCTGGAAATAAAAATAAATTTCAAAATGAACATGTATATAAAGAGTTGTCTGAGAAGACATGATTTTTCATAGCTCAACTATAACTCAATAAATGAGCCACGCCATGACAAAGGCAACATAATGCGTTTGCGACCAGCATGGATCCAGACCCTGCGCATCCGCGTAGTCTGATAAGGATCCATGCTGTTCGCTTACAAACCCTAATACAAGTAGAGAAACTGATAGCAAACAGCATGGATCCTGATCAGACTGCGCGGATGCGCAGGCTGGTCTGGATCCATGGTATTCGCAAACGTACTATGTTGGTTTTGTCATTGTGCGGCTCAAATCTAACTGATTAAATATAGGTAAATATTTACTTTTTATTAAGAGTTTGAAGTATTCAATATGTTTCATTAAGAAATTTTTAGAAAAAAGTGGCAATTCAGACAATATTTGGTAAATCAAACAATATAAATGCAAATGAACTTCTATAGCAAAGGGGAGTAACCTAAAACTTACTATGATGCTATCAAATCCTTGTGATGGCACAGTTCTTGTTCTATCAGCCTTGACAACAGTTTCTACATTGCCAATGGCAACCTCAACTTTCAGAAGATTTCCAATCTGTAAAAATATCATAATTGAAATAAACTGATGTTGTTTTTTTCTGAATGATTTACTTGTCATTAAAATCTAGAACTGCAGAATAATAGAAAAATCAACCAATTGAATTGTGATGCAGTAATGGATTATCACTAGAATGTTAACCAATAAGAATCTTACGCTGACTGCCGGTACAGACCAGAATATCTAGCTCAAGGGTATCTGTTTACAGTGGCAATGAGGCTCTGCCGAGTTTCCACTAAACGGTTACCTGAGGGCTAGATATTACGGTATGTACCGACAACCTGTGTTTGATTCTTTTTCTTGCATATTACATATCAATTATTTTCAGAACAGAAATTACGAAAAACTGATATTCTCATTACGCACTTTTTTCTTATAGTAGCGTATGAACTTACAACTTTATTCATAACCGTAAAATGACGTCATGCTAAGAACGCAATTCATTCATTGTGGGCAATGACATCATTTAAAGCTAGCAACTTGTCTTACATGGGAGGTTGTAAGACAGGGTTTTCTAGCACCGGTGTAAACGGTAGATAACCCTGTCTGACATGCAAGAAAATACAATACATAACATGATAAAATCATTGGTCATAGAGTGTTTTTTTGTAGACCAATCAAATAGTCTAATTTAATGAATTTGACATACCTTGGAGAATTGAGCAGCTTTGAAAGGGTATTTTGAGAAATATAATCCTTTCCCATAATCACCACAAGTGAAGTCTGTAAATATAAATTTAGAATAACTTCAGTTATAATATTACAAATATATCAATAAACTAGAATAACATGAAAACAAGAGCGATCAGTGATCACAAGTGTCGCCTCATGATGGCCAATTTCATGTTTGGAAAAGTTTTGTGACAGATGAGCAGACAGATGGACAGTGCACAACTAGACTTGGTACTGATCATTCCTATAAAGTTTGGATAAAATTGCACCAGTAGTTTATGAGGAGTAGTCCGGACAAGCTTTTGTGTATCTGGCAACACACAGAAAAAAACACCTTTTTATCAAAGGGCAATAACTCGGCCAAAAATTATTCAACCGGAAAACCTGTGCAATATGCTCAAAACAAAACCAGAGTTCTGCATGGAATTAAATTCTTTGAACAATTTTTAAAGGTGACCACCAAAGGAACATTCCTGTGAAGTTTGGATGAAATTGGCCGAGTGGTTTATGAGGAGATGTCATTTAAAGTAAAAGTTTACGAATGACGGACGGACGACGGACGAAAAGCGATCACAAAAGCTCACCCTGTCACTTTGTGACAGGTGAGCTAAAAACACCTTTTTATCAAAGGGCCATAACTCTGCCAAAAATCATTCAACCGGAAAACCCGTGCAATATGCGCAATGACTTCAGCTACAGATCAATCCTGAAAAGTTTCATTGAAATTGCATTAGCGGTATAAGAGAAGTAGTCCGGACAAACTTTAAAAATAAAAATTATTAAAGGGCCATAACTCTGACAAAAATCATTGAACCTGAAAATGCTGATAATATGCACAACTAGACTTGGTACTGATCATTCCTGTAAAGTTTGGATGAAATTGCACCAGTAGTTTATGAGGAGTATTCCGGACAAGTTTTGTGATGGACGGACAGACAGACAGACAGACGACGGAGAAGTGATCCCTATATGTCGCCATTACTCCATAGAGGCGACACAAAAATGTAGGCTTTTTAACTGCCAAAAGTCATTTTTCTTTGTCAAATAGCATTTGAAGTGTTTAGACTTCTGTGACATTTAAGGACTCAACTGAGGCCAAACAGGCCTAAAAGATAAAAATTGAGTTTCTTACACACATCAACAGGGGCACTTAAAATGTTAAAATATGCAAAAGATAATGATGAAATATGCTCAGAATTGAATTAAACAAGAGCTGTCCGTAAGACAGCGCGCTCGACTTTTTTAGTGCTTGCCTATAATACAAAACATTGACAGTTAAGGGCCATAATTCAAATAAAATCTTTGACAGAATTACCTTCTCCTGGACATGTTTGGGAATCATGATTGTAAACAAGTATTCCAACTTTCAAATTAATATCTCAAACAGTTCAGTCAAAAAGTGGACTGGTACTAAAAACTTAACCAAGATTCTAAGTCGATAAAAGGCCTTAATTTTTAAAACAAATCCTTGACAGAGTTACCTTCTCTTGCGTACAGATGGGGGTAATGATGTGAAATAGCATTAAAAGTTTCAAAGCAATATGTCAAAGGGTTAAGGCAATAAGTGGATTTTACCCATATTCAATGTATTTTCTAAGTCAAAAAGGGGCATAATTCTGTCAAAAACCTTGACAGAGTTATGTCCTCTTGTCTGTTGATGAAGGTCGTGATGGTAAACAAGTATGGTCAGTTTCAAAGCAATACCTCCAATGGTTTTGAAATAAAGTGAGGTGGTACAAAAAACTTAACCAAGCTCAATACACTTTCTAAGTCAAAAAAGGGCCATAATTCTGTCAAAAACCTTGACAGAGTTATGTACTCTTGTCTGTAGATGGAGGTTATGATGGTGAACAAGTATGGTAAGTTTCAAAGCCATACTTGTAATACTTCTGAAATAAAGTGGGGTGGTACGAAAAACTTAACCAAGGTGTGACGCCAACGCTAACGCTAACGCCGACGCCGACGCCGGGGCGAGTAGGATAGCTCCCCTTTTCATAGAAAAGTCGAGCTAAAAATCATAGTTTTTATGCTATTCTTACCTTGATTTGAGTTAAAAGTGTTCAAACTCTTCATTTCAGGGTTATATTTAACAATTAATATTCTGAAAACACAGACCAAGTGAATGATCTGGAATTTTGCACAAAAGTTATTGGTCATCAAACAGTACATAAAGTTCAAAAATATAATTTCAAGTCATGCCATGTTAAAACTTAACCTGAGTGGAGTCCCTTTATCTCAACTTGACCATGGCGACCTAGACCTGTGACCAACCAACAAGTAAACATGAAAGAACAGTTGCTGACTTAAAACAAAATCTGTTTTATGTTTATAAGATAACTTTGGTTATTGTGCTGAAACTGTCCTAGGAACACACATGTGGCAGTTTGTACCAGTTCAGTTTCATTTTTCAAGTTCTCAGATATTTATTGTCTAAAACCACATGTCACTGTGACCCTGATATTTTGACTCTCAGAACAAATAAGAAGTTAAGTGAATAAAGCAAGGGCAAAAAGCCTATCAAGATTGGCAACTGAAGGCCAATATTGGCAATTATTAAGCACAAATTAATTCAAATAAAAGGTCTACTTTAACACTGATTTTAATTCAATGCCCCGATTATACAGACTGCAGGAAATGCATGTAAATCTTGAAATATTTGGTAAATGCCACTATTACTTTTTGTGACCTTGTCCAATAATATTACCTTATTAGGGACAGTGTTAGGTCTAACAACCTTGGATATATACAAGTCCTAAGCAAGACTGACATGACAAATTTTTGTTTGGAATTTATGTCACTCTGACACTGTTAAGGTCATATGGAAATTTTCCAGTTTTATTGGTAAAGAAACAAGGGTCCATTCATTAATCATTTCTGACATAGTTTCAAGTTTAACTGGTGGAGGAACAGATGTCCTTTCATTAGCTATTTCTGACACAAGATGACATCTGAGTAGAACCACAGACATTTTGTGTGAGCTAGTTCAGATAGCTTCTTCACATAAAGGAATCAAAGCCACGGATGGAATTCAAACCCACAGCAGTAAGTGACAAGTGGATTTAATGTAAGCAACCTTTGCTCCTCTGTGATTGAGAAGTAGTAATGATATATTTGAGCCATTGTCCTCCTCTGTTTATATGAGCCGCGTCACGACAAAACCAACATAGTGCGTTTGCGACCAGCAGGGATCCAGACCAGCCTGCGCATCCGCGCAGTCTGATCAGGATCCATGCTGTTTCCTGTCAGTTTCTCCACTTGTAAAAGAGTTAGTAAGCGAACAGCATGGATCCTGATCAGACTGCGCGGATGCGCAGGCTGGTCTGGATCCATGCTGGTCGCAAACACACTATGTTGGTTTTGTTTTGACGCGGCTCATATGTTTTATGGTAGGAGACAGACAGTTACATTTAGATAGAACAGAAAGGAATCGGTAAAATATGAAAAACATGCTAAACAAGGAAGGATGGTGTTCAATGAATGCAACTCCTACAAGACCCAGCAATGCAGAACCATCGGCAAGGACCCCAGCAGGACACCAAACAATAACGGGAAAGGGCACAAGGCAAAGTATGGACCTAAGTAACTGCCAGACTGGTGTATACTAAAATACTGTTTATTGGTGTTAAACAGAACAAAACATACAAACAAACAAAACAGGTGATTTTGTGGATATAATTTTCAGTTATTGGGGGTCACTTCTTTTCTGAAAGAAATCTTTCTCTGAACACAATAACATAATGACATTTTCAAACTCAATACGAAATTTCTCCAATTGTTGCAACAAAATGTACCCTCCAAGAAATATGAAAAGCTTTATAGCCTCCCTTCCTTAAAGGAGGGTATTTTCAATACTTCTTTCCATTGAAATCTGACAATTTTCTTTTAATATATCAAAATGTCTTGCTAATATTGGTGAATAAATGTTATTAAAGTATTAGATTTCAATGATTCAATGATCTTTTGACACTTCAACTCACTATCAATATCTAAATCTTTTATATTACCTATTTAAATAAGTGACTATTATCATATTTTTTATTAATAAAGTAGGCTTCAAGTTCAGTATAAAATAAAATATGAAATATTAATGGCCTATTTAAATTTCAATTGTCCCTGCACGTAACTAGAACTAGATATATACCAGTGAAATCTTTTCAATCATATTTATAACTTTAAACTTAAAACCTCCCAGATTTCTTTCCCTAAAAATGTTATTTGAATTAATGTTACCGCAGTGCCAGTATTGTTCATTCCTAAGCCTTTGACGTTTCATAAACTACCTACTACATTACTATATTATATGAATATATATGGGAGAATTATGAAAAGTCTGTGCAATGTTTACGTAAACTATTGCCCCAGTTTTTTTGTGTTTTTTTTTTACAAAAGATCTGAAGTTTTTAGCAAGCTTCTAGTGGTAGAATATTCACTTCAATATCAAAAGGTCTCTACATGTAGTTCAAGTCCTTTCAAAAGCAATGCTTATTCCCTTCAGCAAGAAATTTATCCCACACTGCTGATGAAAGGGTGGAATATCTACAAAATGCTTATTAAAGAATGTGTGTTGCCACAGGCAGAGTGAAAGAAAATCTATCCTTTGATGAACACTTAATTTGTATTTTTTTAAAGAAAATTTGTATTGACACTCCACATAAAGGTTGAAGTCTAAAATTCAAGGTACCATCAGATAAAATATTGCATTGGGAGGGAGGGAGGGAGGAAAATATTGCATTGGGAGGGAGGGAGGGGAGGGAGGGAGGAAGGAAGGAAGGAAGGAAGGAAGGAAGGAAGGAAGGAAGGAAGGAAGGAAGGAAGGAAGGAAGGAAGGAAGGAAGGAAGGAAGGAAGGAAGGAAGGAAGGAAGGAAGGAAGGAAGGAAGGAAGGAAGGAAGGAAGGAAGGGAGGGAGGGAGGGAGGGAAGGAAGGGAGGAAGGCAGGGAGGAAGAAGGGAAGGGAGGGAGAAGAAGGGAAGGGAGGGAGGAAGAAGGGAAGGGAGGGACAGAGGGAGGGAGGGACAGAAGGAGGAAGGACAAGGAAAAGAAGGAAGGGCAA